ATTTGAAATATGTATCCACCTCTCCACAAGTCTTTATGACACTACACACACGTCTTAATAACATATTACACACTTTTCTTTGTATCGTACACAAAAACCCGTCTATGTTTTCACGTGTTTCAGGGTTTCAAGTGTTTTAGGGTTTAGGGTTTAGAAAGCCCGTCCGTATAACATATATATCCAGCACTCAAGCAAGTCTCGTGTGCATCAAAATCAGTGTATGAATTACTGTGTCTTAAAACGCTGCTCATTGAAGGGTGAGTATTAAACTCAGTTGTGCGTGTTGAACTCTTGTGTGGCAGGGTTCTTCAAATCATGTGACATATACCGAACGTCCGCGACGGTCACAAAAACACACACACACATACACACACGCACACAAACATACACACACACACAAACACACGAACCCCTTCCCCCCCCCCCTCCGCCGTATACAGCATAATGAACACCAAGAGGAAAGACAGCTTCAAGGCAGTCCCCGGCGAGAAAGTGGGCAATGTCGAGATCATAGGGAAGCCGCCCGTGCTAATCAGCAGTGCCTCAGCGGACTTTGCGCCCGTCCCAAGTGTATCGCTCGCGTCCCTAACGAAGGAGGTGCGTGAGCAGGCCCAGGAGATACAGCACCTCAAGAACGACGTGGAGACGCTGAAAAGGATGGTATGTATGGAGTGGGGCTGGGTATGGATATGTCACTGGTATAGGTCGCGAGTACGGGGGTTGAGTGCGTGTGGAGATAGGTGGATATAGGTGTGTGTGTATGTGTCGGCATGTGTGTACAGGTGTGGTTTTGTGTATATGATGTGGATGATGTGGGTGGGTGGGTGGGTGTTTGCATGTGAGTAAGTATGTATGTTTGTATGCCATATGTCTGTATGTGTGTATATGTGTATATGTGTACATGTGAGTATGTATGTGAGTTTATATGCATGTATGTGCGTATGTATGTAGGTAAGTGTACATGTGCATTTATGTACGTTAAGAGTGAGATATATATATATATATATATACGCACGCACACACACACACAGACACACACACACACTGACACACACACACACACATA